ATGTATGTGTATTTATATATATATATATATATATATATATATATATATATATATTTATGTGTATATATGTATGTGTAGATGTATGTTCATGTATATATGTATGTATATATATAAGAGTATATATGTATATATATGCATGTATATGTATATCTATTTATCTCTATATATGTGTATCAGAAAAAATTATAAAGAAAACTCACTTTTTCAAATAAAATTATTTTTGAAATAGTTAATTTTTTTAATATTAATAAAAGGTTAATCGTATCGAGTCCTATTAGAATTTAGATATGGTTAGTGTCGCTTTATTTGAGACTCTAATGCTTATAGTTGATAGTTTACGAGATGATGATATATGTATCACGTATGTGGAACTAAGTGAGCTATTTCATCATATAAACGAAGAGTTCAAAACGGATCTTGAAGGATCATGTAAAATAAATAATAAAGTGATAAATTTTGATACAAGTTGAACCAAGTGAAAAGATCTAATTAAATGAGGCTACAATTCGTATATATTTAAACTAGAAATGAATTAATTTTATACGAGTTTTTAAATCAATATTATTATGATAAAATAAATATAACACACAAATATGATATAATATTAGTTGATAAAATAATAATAATATAATGATTTAGACTATCATGGGTAAATTAAAGAGTCATACGAGTGGTGTTGTATTTCTTTAATTTGGATTAATGAAATAGATATCTATAAATTTATATTATCTTGATATATTGAATATTAAACTAACAAAAAAATTCAAGAAAAACATAGTTAAAAAATTTAGTTTCACAAATGATCTGAAAGTATGAGATAAAAAAACAAAACGAAAAAAGGTATAAAAGAAATTTTTAAAATTTCAAAAGTCCAAAATTATAATATAAATCGGTATACAGACACGAACCTAAAAAATTTCAAATAAATGAGAATTCATATGTTTTTTTGTGTTATGAGAGATTTTGTGTGTATTTTTACTATATGGTATTAAAAATAGTCCGTGTTCTTAAATATTTTGATCGACACACTGATTGACGCTAGAAATAGAAAACGATGCAATGTTGGCAATAAAATCATTCATAGATGTCAAAGAGAAAGTCAAAACGATGAAGACGACTATGATGTAGACAAACTCTCTATGACCTGAGGGCTGAGAGATCTATGATCAATAACTCACAAGCAGTATGTACTGACAGAATCTAGATTCGGTGTGTTGATATGACAATGTATTTTGCATATTTCCTAATTCATTATTTTAATCTTGCATATTTAATACATCACATGTCGTATGTTCTTAAAGACACATGAACCTCATAGAATGATGATAAGTTTGGACATGTTTCTATTAGATAAAAATGTATATTTTTTTATTTTATTACTTAATAAACTAAATACATATCTATTAAACCAACTATATATCAATTTTTAAAAAATTTCAAAATATAACTTGATTATTATATATTTCAAATGGATAAGGTATATATTCGGTTGTTTATTTTTATGTACTGAACGAAACAATTTATATATGATATATAATACGTATACGTTGATACATATATTGTATATTGGAAACATGTGAGTAAAGTTAAGGTTGTAACAGAAAAAACATATGAGAGAGTGTAAAATCCGGTTAACGAGTAATCCGCCTGATTTTACCGAAAGATTTTTATTTGGGTTTAATATATTCCGAAATCCAAACATTGTTACTAAATACTCTATTTATTAAGTGAATACAAAAAACGTTAAAACCAAAAAGTTAATAAAAGAATATAATTTAATCATTTTATATTTGGTCGCAAATTTAAAAAAGTACAGATTTAATATAGGTTAGTAATATTTGTTTAAACCTTTATTTTTGACAAGTTCAGATTTAATATTCGTTTATTTTATCAGAATTACATGTAAATAGTCTAATAATAAATTATATTGTAGTCAATGATTTACGTAGGAAAGATTTGAGGATTCATCTTTTTTCGATTATATAATTTATATTATATTAATATCTAATATATTTGTCTGTTTCATTTCAATTTTCTTGAGTTGACTAACAAATTAATATACTCTTGGTAAATAAATAAAATTATTTTCAAAATATATTATTTTATTCTAATATAATGTCAATAATATAGGTTTTTCTGTTATTTATTATTTAAAGAATCAAAATCATTATTTTCTTCACAAAAACATAAATTTCTACAAAATATTCTAATATTAACAGAAAACATATATCAAATTAATAATATCAAATGAATACATAAATTTCACTATAACTATTTAATGTTTCGATTTTTTACAAATATCGTCAAGATATTGTAAATAGTTTTTTTTGCTTACATCTATGTTAACTCTTATAAATTTAAAATGTGTCTAACGAAATCGTATAAACTATTAAGGTTTTAATAGAATATAATATATAATATCAGTTTAGTTGGGTAAAGATTCTCTGGGAGTCATTGATTTTTATTTTGAAGATTTTTTATAATAAACAAATTTAAAAAAAATAAAGTTTGGGGGTCAAGTGATAAAATTAAAAAGTTCTAGAAAAATCTGTTATTTCATGGAGGGTCTTTTAGTACGAAATAAGAGTTTGGGCAGAATTTGTAAATTTCAGAAAATATAGTGTTGGACTGCAATTTCTCTAAGGTTTCTTCTTCTTCTTCCTTCTCCACCTTCCATGGCCGAACCAAAAAGCTCCCAAACAAAATTTTTGCTCCGATTTGAGTCCTTGGACATCTTTGAACGCCGACCACCTTCCTATCGCCACCGCCCCATCACCGTTGGTTCGTTTTAGGGGTGTCAAAAAAACCCGAGGCCTGTTATCCGGCCCGAGCCCGCCCGTAAAATTTACGGGCTAGGGCCTAAGAAATTGAAACATGGTCGTCCATCGGGCCGGAGCGGCCCGGCCCGAAAAATACGGGCCAAAATACGGGCTCGGGCCGAAAAAATAATATATTATATATTATATAATATAAATATATATAGATATAGATAAATATATATATATACATACATGGATAAATATATACATATTAATTCACTAATATTAAAATAAATTTTATTATTATATAAAAATTAAAAAATCTGAGTTTTAATTTTCTTAAATTTACATACATATTAATAAATATTTTTATGAAAACTTTATTTTTTATTATCTTTAGTATATGTTAATTTTTTTCTATTTTGATAATTTTTTATTAATAATTTTTATTTTTATTTTGTTATTATTATTTTTTTAAAAAAAGTCCGAAGCCCGGCCCGAACCCGAAAAAAGTCCATTGGGCCGGGCCTCGGGCCCAAGATTTTAAGCCCGTGTGTATTTCAGGCCGAGCCGACCCGGCCCGTAATTCTTCGGGTTTTTGTCGGGCTCGGCCCAGCCCGGCCATTTTGACACCCCTAGTTAGTTTCCATGCTACTTTCTTATTTCTGGTGAACGAAAGCTCGTTTTTGGGCGAGACTTGAGGGGTTTGGAAGCTCTTGGTGAGCTGAATCTTTCTTTGGTAGTGTCGTCATCGGAAACAGTAAACTGTCGCCGGAAAAATCACCGGGAAACATCGGAGAAAAATCAAGTTTTAGACAATTCTAGTTCGATTTAGGCCAAAATAACTTCGGATTTGGATTTCTTGAGTGATTTTACATACGATACAGAAATATTAGATGATTCCGGGATATATGACCGCTGCCGGCCATCCGGCCGCCGACCACCGCCACCAGCCACCGTTGCTGGAAAATTTTCCGGTGACATGGGTTGAACCATTTCAATTCCATGATTTCAAATCCGAAATCCGTGTTATAAAATTCAATGTATTTAGAGATATTCGAAAGATTTAAAATAAAACAGTTTAACCATAAGACTTACCATTTGATTAACGATGTTTTTTCGGTAGTAAATATTTTTGAAAAAAATAATTTGTTGATTAAATTTATTATATGATAATTAATTATAGGTGAAGAAAATCTCGAGGTTATTGAACCCGGGATCGAGGATTAGAGCGAATCTTTCAGGGTTCATCGTTTAGACCAAGGTGAATGAACTCGACAGAACTCCTCTTTCTTCTATTCGTTTAGACATGATGATAGGGAACGTAGATATCATGCGGTTAGGATTTTAGGATAGACGCCTTAAATTTTCTTGCGAATTTATGATGCATGTTGATTGTTGATTGATGATTGATGAGTGATGATTGAGGATTGATGATGATTGATGATTGATGAGTAATGAATGATAATTGATGATTGATAAATTTCTGTTGAGTGATTATGGCTTGTGACGTTTCCTAATGGATTTATTGGATCGTTAGAATGAGTTGAAATGTTGATACTAATTAAATTTTGGCATGATGTTCGGAAAGATAGGAGAAGTAAAGAATTGAGTTAGGGACTGTGATGTGACCTCAGACTGTGCTAAAAATATTTTTAAAGTGAGTTTTGAGACCATGGTACGGCGGCGATCCGTATGTGATGGTATGATAACAACCCGGGCATGGCAGCGATCCATGTGGAATGATAACTCCGACTACGGCGGCGATCCATAGAGGGTTATTGCTATTGGTTGAGTTTTGAGGCCATGGTACGGCGGCGATCCGTATGTGATGGCATAACGATCCGGGCATGGCGGCGATCCATGTGGAGTGGTAACCCCGACTACGGCGGCGATCCGTAGAGGGTTATTACTATTGGTCATGTTTTGATAACCCCAACTACGACGGCGATCCGTAGAGGGTTATAATGATATTTTTTGGTTTTGTCTTATAAAAAAAGTTTTAACCTAAGTCTGGGGGTACTGAATGGTCCTAGAGTCTGGACTCGTTTTAAAGAATCGAATAAAGAACTACGACGGCGATCCGTAGAGGGTTATAATGATATTTTTTGGTTTTGTCTTATAAAAAAAGTTTTAACCTAAGTCTGGGGGTACTGAATGGTCCTAGAGTCTGGACTCGTTTTAAAGAATCGAATAAAGAATAGTCAGTAGAAGAATGTGAATTAATAGATTGGGTTTTGCTTGAGTTGAATGTTGATTGAATTTGTCTTCTATTTGATTGTCTATGTTGGGTACAGAGGCGAGGTTTATAGTCTTGCAATTTCACTGAGCTATTCGCGTAGCTCACCCCTTCCTTTCTCCCCACAGGTGAAAGGTGAAGCAGATCAAGTGGTAGGACTTGGTAGTTGCAAGAGACACGATGTTTTAGATTTTTATCTTTATGAGTTCAGTATTTTTTAGACTTATGTTAGAATTTCATTATTGAGACTTCCGCTGCAGATTTTGAGATGATAGTATGGTATTAAGAATAAACTGAATCTTTCTTTTTAAAACCTAATTGACGATTCAATGGTTTCCGAAATATCGGATTTTGGGTCATTACAGATGGTATCAGAGCCCACTCTTTCCATCAGACTTTAAACAAAAATCTTCTTATGGTGTTAGAGACTCAGTTTATGGTAAAATAACCATTCTAATATTATTTGCCATGATATGAACGTAGGATGGCACCTGGTCGTGGACGAGGACGTCCAGTCCCAGAGGAGAGGAGATCTGGAAATCCTCCCCAGCCTGATCATATGCAAGAAATGAGGAATTTACTGATGGAACTCATCACTACTATGAGACAACAGGGAGCAGCACCAGCTCCACAACCTGTCCCTGCACCACCACCACCTTATGTACCACCACCGCCACCTCCCGTACAACCGGCTGCAGCTCCTGCACCTGCACCACCTGTGATGAATGCAGAATTTTTCCAATTCCTTGATCGAGTGGAGCGTCGTACAGCTCCAAGATTTGGTGGTACATCTGATCCAGCTGTGGCCGAGGATTGGTTGGACAAGATGACTCAGATATTTGATCTTATCCAGTGTCCTGATCTTTTTAGGGCACACATATCCATCTACCATCTCGATGGAGAGGCGCAACACTGGTGGAAAGGAGTTGCCCAACCATTTGGGGTAAACTATCAATTCACTTGGGGACAGTTCGTCCATGCATTTCGAGAGAAATATTACTCACCTGGAGTACAAGAGGAGATGGCGATGAAGCTTATTAGCCTTCAACAAGGAAATCGTTCAGTGAAAGAATATGAGAGGGAATTCAATTCATTGGCTAGATATGGAGGTGAGATGTTGCAAACAGAGACCTTAAGGGTTAAGAAGTTCGTAAGAGGACTTCGTCCATCTCTCAAGGCAAAGGTAGGTTTCCGGAAGATCTACATGGAATACCTCCTCTAAGAGAGATATCTTTTCCTATTGAGTTGAATCTGTCAAGCATGTTCGAGTTGAAGAATCGACACGGACTGTGTTGCATTTGACACGGCCGTGTTGTGTCCGTGCTGAAAAAAGTGAAGTTTTGCTCAGAGAATTGACACGGACCGTGTTGTCATTCGACACGGCCGTGTTGATTCAAACTCGCCCGTATTCAGTCCATGTCTAAAGTGCAGATTTTTAACAGAGAATTGACACGGACCGTGTTGCATTCGACACGGTCGTGTTGCGTTACGGGAAAACTTCCTATTTTGCATCTGGACTTCCGTTTTCAGCAAAGGAAGAAGCCCAGCTGCCAAGCAAATAAATAGGAGACGTCTTGGGCTTCAGAAAATCATCGAGAGATCACAGGAGAAGCCAGAGAACTCAAGAGAGAATCAAGACGGAGTTTCCCGGGAGCAGAGATTGAAGAATCGTCGTCGAGAGATCGCTGCGAGTCTTCTTTATCTGTTTCTATGTTTCTTCTTATTAATTTGAACTCGTTTGTTGTTATGGGTAGTGAGTAGTCGTCTCACTGTAGCTTGGGATTTAACCTTGTAGGGATTTGTTTGGTGTTTATTTTCTGAGACTACGTTATCGATACTCGGCGGTTTAATTGAATTGAGTTTATTGCTTTTGATCTTCTTGGTCTGTTGATTGATTGATTTTAAATTCTGATTTAAACCGAGAGTTGGAATTAGATTCGGAAAGAATTCATTGAATAAATTGATTAAAACTATTGAGAGATAGGTTAATCGGTTTAGGAACTGTGATAGTGATTGTTAATGCGTTTTATATTTTAATCTATTAGGTTGAGAGATCGATAGGTTAAATTATTAGACAGTGGATTTAGGACATGAGAGAACCAAATCTGATATTAGAACTTGAGATCCCCGATTAGAGTTCGATATTCGTAGATTCTCCATCCTTAGAAACAATCCCTACGCGTTAAGGTTATCCCGAAGCTACGGTGGTTTAATTATCTGATTTTACTTAGTTTATTTATTGCTTTATTTTCGGTATTCATCTATTCCATCTGCTATTTCCTGATCTGATTTTTGGTTGAGTCTTGTTCCTAGAGTTAACTATTCCCTGTGTTCGACCCTGGTACTACAGTTGATCCGTATCCTTGCGGTATTCGCTGTATCTAGGTTTTTATCACTTGAGCATTATTTCTATACCTAGATTTGCGTGATCAAGTTTTTGGCGCCGTTGCCGGGGAATAGTTTAGCGCTACGATAGAGATTCCTTTGAGTCTAGGTTTTAGTCATTTCCGGAGTCTTGTTTTCTGAGTCTTTTGCGTCATTGTTTGTTTTTCAATTTTCTTGAATCTTTGAGTGTTTCTTTTTTTTTTGTGTTTTGCGTCTTTCGCCTTGTCTCCTTTTTCTCCTTGGTTTCTTTAGTGTGTGCAGGTATACCCTCTCCAAGAGCATGAGTAGAGAATTATGGATATGAGCTATCTCTGAACGACGTGCTGTATGACAACTCTTTTAATCCCGGTTGGACGAACTATCCAAATTTTTCCTATGAATCATATGCTCCAAATGCTCTACATTGGGATTTCAATGACCACCAGAATCATGGATCCTGTGAATTTCAAGCATATCAGCCTATATCCCCATTTCACTACGATCAGGGTTATGAGACATACTACCATTTTGAAGAACCACCTCAGGAAGCATACGCTTATCCACTACTTCAAACTCAGCAAGAGATAGATTCTGATATAAAATACATGTTTATTCAGGTTTTGCAGAAATAGAAAAACAATTTTAATGAGCTAAAGGGCTTCACGAGGGATGTGAATTCGCGACTCGAGCTCATTAACAATCGACTCGCTAATCTTATCTCGTCATCGGTGTGGTCGCAAGAAACTCTCACGGAACAACCAGAAATTGATCTTGGAGAGTACCTTAACACCATACCACTGAAGGGTGTGGAGCAATCTGAGTTAGACTCACAACAGGTCATCAAGAAAGGTGAGTGCTCTAATGCATATTTGGATTATAAACCTAACTCTTTGACCACAAATGAGCACTTGAGCATGAATTGTGAGGAGACATAACCAAAGTCTGTGCCTCCACCGCCAAGACCATCACCGGTTCCATTTCCTTCACGCCTGAAGAAACACAAGAAAGACGTTCAGTTTGATCAACCATGTTCACAAAAGCAAAAATTCGATGTGAAATCACACAAGGTTGAACTGGTTGTTTACTCGTCTGAGACTATTCCCATCTCGAGTCGAGCAGTCCTCCAAACTGATATTCAAGGAGATCCACCACCTCTTTCATCCGGCTTCCATGCTGACCCCCAATTACCACCATTCAAGTTTCGGTCGATCAGTAAGGTAAATGAAGAGCTACATCACTTCGATCGAAGCCACACCAAATCAGCTGAATTTGTCTCATCCAACCCCATTCCACTTAAAACCATTCCTCCAAGACCCATTCCCCCAGAACCCCTTCCTATTTGAGTAAGATGAGTCGAGCTAAAGACATTAAACAAGCGCTCGCGGGAGGCAACCCGAGTTTTTCTTTCAGGTTAGTTCTTCTTTCCTTTCTTTCTTTTTTGCATCGGATATTGGTTTGTGTCTCTTATCACCAGGTTGAGTTCTAATGAGGAGCTACCGAGGAGGCGAGGAAGCTAGCTATGCGATTGACGTAGGCAGACTTAAGTGCGAGTGAGCGAACATCGCGAGCTAAGTATTCTTTTTCCTTCTTGATTTTCTTCTCTTTTGACTCATTTTATTGGTTGCCTCTACTAGACGAGATTTGACACCGAGGACAGTGTCCAGTTCAAGTCTGGGGGAGGATTCGTCTAACGCCAAACCATATCCCAGTTCAAGTCTGGGGGAGGATTCGTCTAACGCCAAACTGTTGGGTTTTCCTGGGATCTCATGAGCGAATCTAATTTCTAAGAGATCGATTCTAGGGTTTGCGCAGCGGATGTAAAACAAAAATTTTAATAAAACCCTAGAACCTATCATGCATGATCTTGCAGAAACGTTAGAACGCTTACCTCAATCGATCCGGGGCCTGTATCAATTGATATGTTCGTCCGATCACTGTAGGCAGGAAAAATACCTTGCCCTCTACACGTATCCACACGGAATACCTCCTCTAAGAGAGATATCTTTTCCTCGTCCATCTCTCAAGGCAAAGGTAGGTTTCCGGAAGATCTACATGGAATACCTCCTCTAAGAGAGATATCTTTTCCTATTGAGTTGAATCTGTCAAGCATGTTCGAGTTGAAGAATCGACACGGACTGTGTTGCATTTGACACGGCCGTGTTGTGTCCGTGCTGAAAAAAGTGAAGTTTTGCTCAGAGAATTGACACGGACCGTGTTGTCATTCGACACGGCCGTGTTGATTCAAACTCGCCCTTTGACATGGACCGTGTTCACTGCAACACGGCCGTGTTCCGTTTCGAGTAAACTTCATATTTTGCATCCGAACTTCCTTTTTCAGAATGGGAAGAAGTCCAGCTGCCAAGCAAATAAATAGGAGATGTCTTGGGCTTCAGAAATGATCGAGAGATCACAGTAGAAGTCAGAGAACTTGAGAGAGAATCAAGACGGAGTTTCCCGGGAGCAGAGATTGAAGAACCGTCGTCGAGAGATCGCTGCGAGTCTTCTTTATCTGTTTCTATGTTTCTTCTTATTGGTTTGAACTCGTTTGTTGTTATGGGTAGTGAGTAGTCGTTTCACTGTAGCTAGGGATTTAACCTTGTAGGGATTTGTTTGGTTTTTATTTTCCAAGACTACGTTATCGATACTCGGCGGTTTAATTGAATTGAGTTTATTGCTTTTGATCTTCTTGGCCTGTTGATTGATCGATTTTAGATTCTGATTTACAACGAGAGTTGAGATTAGATTCGGAACGAATTCATTGAATGAATTGATTAAGACTATTGAGAGATAGGTTAATCGGTTTAGGAACTGTGATAGTGATCGTTAATGCGTTTGATATTTTAATCTATTAGG